AGTTTTTGCAGATGCTTCGCCAGGACCCGGTTCATATGGAAAAACTCATTAAAAAAGCCCAGTCATGGCTCCTGCATGTACAGTGGAAGAAAACACAATATGGCGTACTCTCATGTATTAAACGTATGATTTTGCATCATCTCAGTTATTCATTTTCATTCTTTCGCACCGAGCAGCTGTGTATTTTTCTGTTCTGCTTAGTAAACACGCAGGAAGGAAATGAGCATGGAAGGAGGTGGGCATGAAAAAATATGCGCTGGGGTCTACTTTCGATCGAAGTGGGAAATTTTATTTTCTCGCTATTTTTTCCAGTCAGTTTATTATTGTCTGACTTTAGCGCATTTTTATCGTGAATTGCTGCTCAGCAATGCAGCATCATAGATTCCGAAATTTAGTATCTGTGTGAGGTAGTTTTGGTCGCTTTGGCCATCTAAATTTCCATCATACCAGCCAACCCCTGACCATGACTCAAATCACTAGTAACTTTTACAGACTCTTTAATAAGTGTTTGCGATTGCAGTGAAAAATAAGATTTTGTGGCGTGCTGGAGAACTAATTAAGATCCAGAGCGCGTTACGTGGATACATCGCACGAAAAGCTCACCGTCCAAGTTAAGTCTTCTCTGGCTTTATTTAGACAAACGTAGGTTTATACTACATCGATTTGCAAGAATTGGATGTACAGATTTAGAAATACTCCTCTGGCTTCGAATGCAGTGATTTTAGATTGCAGTTATACCGAAGAATAAATGTGCTTTGGGAGCGGGTAACGGAGCTGGAGAAGCTGCTGCAGAGTATGTCACCTGTTAGCCGCAATAGTTGGTTGCCGATTATCAATGCAATATGTGCTGATACTCAACAGATCCTCAAGAGCATTAAGGTGAATGATGTATGAAATTTTGTTGGAAGTTGACAAGGAAAGCTAAGCAAAAGATTCACTCTGAATAGAAACCAAAAGAAGAGATCGCATATCTGCTTCAGAACGTAGATCGCAAGCACTTGGGTAGCTTGGAAGATCGGCACAAACAATTGATGCAGAAAATTGATTCCACAGTACCTTTGCTCAGGTACACTTTCTCGCTTCAATTTATGTTAGAAAGCTAACGGAGGCCCAGTAATTATCTGAATGGTTTATTTCAATAGGCAACAGCTCGAGAAAGACGAACTGGAGAAAATTAAAGAAATGGAGGAAAAGCAACGCCTAGAAAAGGAGAAAGAAAAGCAAAGAAAACTGGAGGAGCAACGTCTAGAAGAACAGCGCTTCGAGTGAGTGAATGACACTATCAAAATTCTTGTCATATTTGAAAA